GGGGAAGAGAGGAGAAGAAAAGAGGTGGAGTGTTTTTTAAAGTTTTGGCTGGGGCATATGGAGACCGTATTCTGGAAGTCTAATTCTTCATTGTTAATGAGGCAGTGGGTCTGAAGAGACACAGATATAATGCCATTAAGACCTTTTTAATAAAATACAGAGTCCTTGATGCATCCAATGTTTTTGACCATGCTAAAGTCAAGCATATTACTAGTCCACTGAAGTCAATGGAACTATTCATGCAAGTTAAATTATATTTCTGCTTAATTGAAAGATCAGTGCCTGAATTCTCTCTTTTTTTGGCTTATATCAGTTTGTTATCTTTCATGTAATGAGACCTTATCAAAAGTGTCATTTGAAAACAGAACAAGCCCCCTGCCTAAGCATTTATAATTTAGTTTATTATAAACTTTAGATTAATTTGAAATCTGTGCTATGGCAATTTTAGTTAACACTTCAAGCGGATTCAAATCTAAATTAAATAGATTTAAACACAATAATCTTCAGATTTTTTAAGGCAATACCTTGTGGTTGAATTTAACTCTAGATGCACAATGTATGTACTGCAATTAATTATGTAGAGACACGGGGCGAAAATCCATGGCCAAAACAGAGCACAAATTATTGCTAAGCCATACTGCCTAACATTTTAGGAGTGAAGACGAGTTGTGATGGGAAAAGAGGGCACACAAAGGGTTGAACTGCTCTACAGCCAGACTCCTTCTAGAAGACTGTGTCCTCTACGGTAACTCATGTCCCACCCAACAGCAGCTGCTCATAATAATCAGCATCCGACAGTGTATGGGAAGCCCTTAATGTGTCGCCAAGGGGCAGTTTAACAGATGGCAGAGTGACATACAACCAGAATCATTAATTAAAACTGCCATATTAGTCCCACGACATGGTGCTGAAAACACTTCCTCAATGAAAGGAGAACATTTCAGATAAATAAATGACCGTCTGCTGTTCGCATGTACTCGCTCTAGGGCTTCTGGTCACTGCTGAGTTCCAGTCAGAACAGCCTCGCTTTTACAGCAGTTTCCTGCCCTCCAAGTTCAAGCGGGCTATGGTACGAACTCTGAGTGGTCATCTTTCTACATCATTACCTATTTCTTCATGTAAGCACTGCAGGTGAAGGCAATTATTAAGAGCATCACAATGGTTTGGCTAAGCAAGGCTGGAAGTACTAAAAACTGCATTTGACAGGTCTTCTCAGCAAGTAGGACTTTCAAGCCAGACAAACAGCAACCAGCTACACACAAAATACAGGCAGTCCCCGGGTTACGTAAAATATAGGGACTATAGGTTTGTTCTTAAGTTGAATTTGTATGTAAGTCGGAACTGGCTCCAGATTCAGCCGCTGCTGAAACTGACCAGAGGCTGACTACAGGAAGCCCTAGGCAGAGTTGCTCTGCCCCCGGCTTCCTGGAATCAGCCGCTGATCAGT